TTGTCTGAGCGGCTAAAGCCTAGTGCATACATTCAGGTTTTTTAAACCCAGTGGGCTGAACAAAAAGATGAAGATCGCTGTACAAACTATGCCATGTTAGTGCAGCGATCTCTCCCGCTGTGCTATTGTGTTTTGACAGAGGGACTTCTCCCGTCAGAACGCAACTAATTTGAAAATACTTAACAAGGGAAACCTCTCCACTAATCTAATGCATTCTGACAGTGGGGAGGCAGGGCAGTTATACATTAGACGGACTTCTGTACAATCTCCCTGCCTATACATGGATCGGAAATCAGCTGATCGCTGCTGAACCAGCTGAATTTCAATTCATGTGCGGCAGGCTCAACAAATTGAAGCCAAACTCCAGCTCACACTGCAGTTACAGAAGCAGTTAACAACTATTCTTTTTTTCTGTTAGGATAACCACTCATAGCAGATATACTGGTACAGGACAGCTCCGCTGCGCAAAATCACGAAAAAATAAGTGATTTTGCATTTATGGGTAGGGGGCCCGCTATTGGCTGCTAGATATGTCAATCATCAGGTCCCAGCCGAGCTAAGAGGGGAGAGATCTGTGTGTAAACTGTCACCATGTACATGCTGCTTTGCATCTCTCTGCACAGCAGAAAGATACAAAGCAGCAAAACACAACACAGTACACGTAGTAAAACACACACAGCACACTTTTAACCCTCTGATCACACCAGATTTTAACCCCTTCCTGCCCAGTGTCATTAGTACAGTGTCAGTGCTTTTTATTAGCACTGATCACTATACTAGTGTCACTGGAGATGTCAGTGGCAGTTAGTTCCCACCCAGTGTCAGATTGCCCACCGCAGTCCTGCTATAAGTCGCTGATTGCCGCCAATATTAGTATAAATAAATAAAAAATTCCAGTATATATACTGCCATTTGTAGACGCTATAACTTTCACCTAAACCAATTAATATACACTTATTGGGATTTTTTTGTAAGCAAAGACATGTAGCAGATTACATTTTGGCCTAAATTTATGAAGAAATTTTATTTTTTCTTCATTTTTTTATTGGATATGTTTTATAGCAAAAAATTTTGCAATTTGTTTTCCAAAATTGTCAGTCTTTTTTTGTTTATAGCACAAATAGTTAAAAATGCAGAGGTGATCAAATACCGCCAAAAGAAAGCTCTATTAGTGAGAAAAAAAGGACATAAATTTAATTGGGTGCATCATTGTATGACCGCAAAATTGTCAGTTAAAGTAACACAGCGCCGTATCGCAAAAAATAGCCTGCTCAGGAAGGGGGGAAAATCTGAAGGGCAAGTGGATAAATGTTTTACATGAATAAATGCTTGAGGTGATTGTAGCCGTATTAGTGCATTTGCGACAGAAACAATTGAGTACTGTCCGTGATACTTTTTTTATTTGCACTAACATACAATTTTGAGGACAAGCTTTTGGGGTATGTCCCCTTCTTCAAGGTCTAAGCAGTACTATTACAAATCACGAAGTTTAAGCAGAATGTTAGAAGGGATTGAGAAAAAAAAAAAAAAGAAGGGTTACAAGGACAAAACTATCAACACCAGCATAAACACAGCCTTGAGAACCCGAAGGGAAAATCTGCTTCAGTACAAAGAGAAAAAAACAAACAACCGTGTACCTCTAGTAACTACATACAACCCAGCACTAGAAGGAATAAGAAAAATAATCAAAGATTTACAACCCATCATAACAGAGGATGGAACTCTGAAAGAAATATTCCAGCAACCCCAATACTGGCTTTCAGACAACCTGCCAAACCTCAGAAATAAACTAATCAGTAGAAAACTTCCTTCTGATTATGATGTCACAAATAATGGAAGCAAACCCTGCAATAAGAAACGCTGCAAGCTGTGCAACCAAATCAATCCATCAAAAAGTGTCAGACACTCAAAAGGGATCTTCAATATTTCCGGATCATACAGCTGCACCTTCAGTAATGTTGTATACCTTATCCAGTGCAGAAAATGCAGCAAAGGATCTTATGTTGGCGAAACAGGACAGAGGTTGCAAACAAGGATGAATTTGCACAGACATACCATCAAGGAACATAAAGAAGATGACCTCTGCACACCTGTAGGACACCATTTCTCACAGCCAGGCCACAATATGGAAGACCTCAATATTTTAGTTCTGAAAGGAAAATTTAAATCCATCCAGGAAAGAAAAACATTTGAACTAAGAATGATAATTCTATTTGACACAAAAGATAACGGCCTTAATTTGGACATTGGATTCCTCAACCATTATCCAACAGCTTTATGACTATCTATTAGCTAAAGCTTGACCCCCTCTGTGTGAGTGTAGTATCCCCCCCTCGCTTTTGATGTACAGTCAGGTCCATAAATATTGGGACATCGACACAATTCTAACATTTTTGGCTCTATACACCACCACAATGGATTTGAAATGAAACGAACAAGATGTGCTTTAACTGCAGACTGTCAGCTTTAGTTTGAGGATATTTACATCCAAATCAGGTGAACGGTGTAGGAATTACAACAGTTTGCATATGTGCCTCCCACTTGTTAAGGGACCAAAAGTAATGGGACAATTGGCTTATCAGCTGTTCCATGGCCAGGTGTGTGTTATTTCCTCATTATCCCAATTACAATGAGCAGATAAAAGGTCCAGAGTTCATTTCAAGTGTGCTATTTGCATTTGGAATCTGTTGCTGTCAACTCTCAAGATGAGATCCAAAGAGCTGTCACTATCAGTGAAGCAAGCCATCATTAGGCTGAAAAAACAAAACAAACCCATCAGAGAGATAGCAAAAACATTAGGCGTGGCTAAAACAACTGTTTGGAACATTCTTAAAAAGAAGGAACGCACCAGTGAGCTCAGCAACACCAAAAGACCAGGAAGACCACGGAAAACAACTGTGGTGGATGACCGAAGAATTCTTTCCCTGGTGAAGAAAACACCCTTCACCACAGTTGGCCAGATCAAGAACACTCTCCAGGAGGTAGGTGTATGTGTGTCAAAGTCAACAATCAAGGGAAGACTTCACCAGAGTGAATACAGAGGGTTCACCACAAGATGTGAACCATTGGTGAGCCTCAAAAACAGGAAGGCCAGATTAGAGTTTGCCAAACGACATCTAAAAAAGCCTTCATAGTTCTGGAACAACATCCTATGGACAGATGAGACCAAGATCAACTTGTACCAGAGTGATGGGAAGAGAAGTGTATGGAGAAGGAAAGGAACTGCTCATGATCCTAAGCATACCACCTCATCAGTGAAGCATGGTGGTGGTAATGTCATGGCGTGGGCATGTATGGCTGCCAATGGAACTGGTTCTCTTGTATTTATTGATGTGACTGCTGACAAAAGCAGCAGGATGCATTCTGAAGTGTTTCGGGCAATATTATCTGCTCATATTCAGCCAAATGCTTCACAACTCATTGGACGCCGCTTCACAGTGCAGATGGACAATGACCCAAAGCATACTGCAAAAGCAACCAAAGAGTTTTTTAAGGGACAGAAGTGGAATGTTATGCAATGGCCAAATTAATCACCTGACCTGAATCCGATTGAGCATGCATTTCACTTGCTGAAGACAAAACTGAAGGGAAAATGCCCCAAGAACAAGCAGGATCTGAAGACAGTTGCAGTAGAGGCCTGGCAGAGCATCACCAGGGATGAAACCCAGCGTCTGGTGATGTCTATGCGTTCCAGACTTCAGGCTGTAATTGACTGCAAAGGATTTGTAACCAAGTATTAAAAAGTGAAAGTTTGATTTATGATTATTATTCTGTCCCATTACTTTTGGTCTCTTAACAAGTGGGAGGCACATATGCAAACTGTTGTAATTCCTACACACCGTTCACCTGATTTGGATGTAATTACCCTCAAATTAAAGCTGACAGTCTGCAGTTAAAGCACATCTTGTTCGTTTCATTTCAAATCCATTGTGGTGGTGTATAGAGCCAAAAATGTTAGAATTGTGTCGATGTCCCAATATTTATGGACCTGACTGTATCTTATCTGTAGACTTTTTTTTTTTTTTCTTCTCAATCCCTTCTAACATTCTGCTTAAACTTTGTGATTTGTAATAGTACTGCTTAGACCTTGAAGAAGGGGACATACCCCGAAAGCCTGTCCTCAAAATTGTATGTTAGTGCAAATAAAAAAAGTATCACGGACAGAATTGTTTCTGACATGAAGAAATAAAATCTGACCATTGTAAGCACTGCTGTCAGTGGTAAACAGCTACATTTGCAAGAGAGCTTGTTCTGTTGAAAAATAACAGACTTACTGGCTGGATCACCTGATAAAAATAAAGGATAGAAAGCCTACAAAAGAAAACAGATGCAGCCATTCACATCTAAGAATTCTTAAGCTACATGAGAATAAATGCTTTATTTTGGCTGTAATACCACTTTAACTGAACATGCTGAAGATAGAAGCTGATTGGTTGTTGTGTACAGCTGCACCAGATTCTGCCTGCTGCAATTTTGATAAATCCCCCCCATTGTATGTTAATAAACTGTATTTAACCACTAGCCTACCGGGCACTTATACCTCCTTCCTGCTCAGGCCAATTTTCAGCTTTCAGTGCTGTCACACTTTGAATGACAATTGCGCGGTCATGCAACACTGTACCCATATGAAATTTTTATAATTTTTTTGAGACAGATAGAGCTTTCTTTTGGTGGTATTTAATCACCTCTGGGTTTTTAATTTTTTGCTATACAAAACAAAAACAACTGAAAATTTTGGTTATAAAATTTTGTAAATAAGTGATTTTTCTCCTTCACTGATGTGCGCTAATGAGGCTGCAGTGATGGGCACTGATAGGGTGCACTGATGGGCACTGATGAGGAGGCACTGGTAGGTGGCATTGATGGGCATTGACAGGCATCACTGATAGGCACTGAAAGGCAGCACTCATATATGGCACTGATAGGCGGCACTGACTGGCACTGTTAGGTGGCACTGATAGGCAGCACTGACGGGCACTGATAGGCGGCAATGACTGGCACTGATAGGTGGCACTGACTTGCAGCACTGATAGGTGGCACTGACTGGCATTGATAGGTGGCACTGACTGGCACTGAAAGGCAACTCAGATGGGCACTGATATGTGGCATTTATGTGCACTGGTAGGCACTGATATGTGGCATTGATGAGGCACTGATGGGCACTGATATGTGGCACTGATGAGCACTGACAGCTGGCATTGATGGGCACTGACAGGTGGCACTGATGGGGTTACACTGATCATCAGGGCACACTGATCATCAGTGCCCTGATGATCTGTGTACATATCCCCTCTGAGGAATGCCGATTACCGGCTCTCCTCTCCTCACGAGCTGTCAGCGTGACAGCTCATGAGAGAAATGCTGATAACTGGCATTTCCCTATTTACATGCAATCAGCTGTGATTGGACACAGCTAATCACATGACCGAGCCAACATCTTCGGCTCTCTCCATTGATTGGTGATTCGCTGGGACACAGCGCACCACCGATCACCGTGCTGCGCGCTCCCGGTGCCGCACACGCGCGGTTAGAGTGGGAGGACGTCATATGACGTCCTCCCAGAACAAGAGAACCACCTTGCGTCCATCATTTCCTTATATGGTGGGCAGGAGGCGGTTAAAAGAACTGTCCCTCAGCCTGTCCCCCAATTGCACATTGGAAGTTATTCTGAACGATAGAAGCTGCCCATAGAGCCCTCTATATCATTCTATTTCACAGAAAGCAGGATCATGGGAACACATACAAAACATATGATACAGGGAGGATGGGGGGGGTTCCAAATTTGACTGCAATGGTGGAAATAAAACTTAAAGCTATTTCAAAAGCAAAATTCACAAAGCACACAGGCCCCTTAAAGTAGTTATAAAGGCTGGAGGTTTTTTTTTCCTTCATACAGTCCCCACAGCCCCCCTAATACTCACCTGAGCCCCCTCTCAATCCAAAAACCATTGCACAGAGCACATAAGCATGAAATGTTTTATTTAGAAAAAAAACCTTTAATATCACTTCCAATATGCTTCCAGTGCCCTTTACTACAATCTTTAATCCTACTCCCCCAAACAGCACAGGCTACCTGCTACCCAAACAACAGTTCACTCCAGCTCCAATGAACAGTTGCCTTTTTGTGGTTTATTGCTGATAAACTTGAAAACATGATGGAGATTAGGGCATGGGATAGTCCAAAACACTCCACAATTGTTGGTGATAAGGAGACAGTTGTTTTAGCAGTTGTAGGTAATGGTGAACAGTCCAAGGCCCTACAGCTGAAGACTACTGGGCAAGTCTTTGGGCATCTGGTTACCCTGCGTCAATACACAACTGTCACGTACCTGGGTAGTGAGCCTGACGTGAAGAGGCAGACCTCTCGTACAACTCCGGCTCAAGGACTGCTGAGAGTGGGACAGCGGTCGCAAGAGCTCGGCGGGGTAAGAGGGCCTGGGATCTGTCCGGTGATAGCTGTTGGACTGATGAGTAGCAGACCATAGCAGGGTGCAGATGTATCCGTGCAGGATGGATGGATGCTGGAGCACCATGTACTGAGAAGCGGAGTCAGACGAGCCGGGTTCGGTATTGACGAGACAGATCAGGCTTTAACGGCAGGCAGGAGAATAGTCTGGTCACAGGCCAGGTTCAATACCAGGAGGTCAATCAGACAGGAGCAGGCAGAAGAATAATCCGAGGACAGGCCAGAAGTCAGGGCAGGAGGCGATCAATCAGAAGTCAGGAAACAGGCTCGTTTTGGCAACAGGGAACAATCACAGAAGTCAGGGACACGAGCAGGGGAAAAGACCATACGGCAATGAGACAACCACAGCAGCCAGTTTAAATAGCCCTCTTGGCGCCAGCATTAGTGATAGGCGCGTGCCCGCGTGTGTGCGAGTGCGCAAGCACGAGCGCAACCGCACGCGCCTCTGTCCAGGCGCCCGCGTATCTGCTCAGCTTGCCAGAACCCTGCGCATGCGCACATTCGTGTGCCGCGGAGCTTCACCTGTACTACGTGCAGGCCTTCCCTGACAACAACTATCAGTACCCAATGCACACAGTCTCCGGGATCAGCTTAAGATCACTACTCATACGTCCCCAGGACAGTTGCCTCCTTCCAAGCTTCCTCCAGACCAAAACCAGTGAGTCAGATGGCACCTCTAATGACTAGATCTCTTGTGGTGTGGTTCTGCAGACAGTTCTGAGGCAAGTCCATTTGACCTTTATTCCTGGCCCTTCCTAGGCCTCCTGGAGCAGCTGTTCAGCCAAGCTGTGGTACATAGAAATTAATGAAATATAATTTTGTGAAATTTCAAAAAAGTTAAGAAAAAAAGAAAACAAGGTAAATTTTGTCTTGTGTTTTAAAAATACAATGCATCACTCCCCAAAACCAACACCAGTCCACACAGGAAAAGGGTAATTTTACTGTGCAGGTAGTTTGAAAGAGGCTGTATAAGTCCAAGAGAGTATCTTCCATTGAAAGCTATTTGAAGTTCTGCAAAAAAAAAAAACATCCACAGTTTAAAGTTGGTATTAGAGTTATAGAGTAAGTGTGCACAGGAGTAGTAACCATTATGTCATCATATAAAATTTTGTGATGGTAGAGCTAATATAGCTCTACAACTTACTACTAGACCACAATTTCAGTATTTGCTTTCTGTGGCTATGTTAGGGTGGGAGAATTTAGAATTTACAGTGGGACTCTGCGTTCTGAAATGCTGAAAGACATTGGTGAGCTACTGAGGACAGAGTAGTTAGATTGAAAATGAGTGTTAAAAGTTAATTCTGTGCAATGATGGCCTGTTGCAGGGCTAGCGGGGTATAGGCAGGTGATAGTGGACCTTCGTCTATGTTTCCCAATTAACTCATTGGGTGCCAGGTCTGGGTCACCCCCCCCATGGTTGGGTTCTTCTGGACTATGCTAGGCATCTGAGACAGGGTCACTCTACTTCATACACATGGGGTACCTTTAATCTGTGCCATTTTAATCAATGCCCTAGGACAAGGCTGAGGTTGTCGTCAGGGAATACTCGACCTTAAGCTCTTAGAGATGAATGTACACCATGCACACTTGCACAACCACTGTCTTCCAGTTATTCTCAGGTCCCCAAGTAAATGCTCCTGACTCGGCCCACTGTCCCTCTTTTATATGCACAGGAGCAGTGGGTCGGACCCAAGGATCCCGCCATAACTAAAGAACAGGTAAAGGTGTTAACCCTTACATTCCTGTCCGGGGCAGCACCTATATAATTTTAACCTGCTTAAAGGCCCCTCTTCCCTAACAACCTTTGTCCGAATATGCTGACAGCTCTCCTGCTACTTGTCCTTATTTACACATACATTTTGGTAAAATCAGTTACAGTAGGGAGGTCACTGGAAGGCACAATGAAAATTTAGATCTGCCAGGATCTGTAGTTACTCCCCTGATCCTTGGTGCTTATATTTTATGTAGTTAAAGTCCTTCTGCATAGCACATAGTGTGGGCATCTCCAGGAAGGAAAGTATTGGGAAAGGAAGATATTAATGCTTGCAGTAGACAGTGAAGGATGGGGACTCTTTAGTGCTCATGCTAAGATGGTTATTGTGAGCAAATTCTACCCAAGGAAATAGGACAACCCAATCATCCTGCTTGGCATACACTAGAGCCGGAATTATTGTTCTAAGATATAGTACAATATTATATTATATATATTATATTACATTATTGTTCTAAAGATTGATTTATCCTCTCTTCAAAGAGATATCCAAAGACATATAGTGTAGGGAATAGAATTGGACACAATGGTCCAAGACAATGTAGGTTGGCATGCCATGAAGCCTGAAGATTTCCCATATAAAGGCAAGCACCAAGGCTACCGCCAAGGGCAAAAAAGGAAGGGTTACAAAATTTGCCATCAATGAGAATCAGTCTGCTGTTACCCCAAATAATTGTACAGCCATTGGAAGCAGGGAGATTGGTAATAAAGTCTATAGAAGCTACTCAAGGTTTTCTTGGAATGAGTAGCGGACCTGCAGGTGCATAGGTAGAAGACTTGGTTTGGGCACAAATCGCACAAGCTCTTTCATACCCTCAAATCCTTTCGGAGATTTGTCCACCAGTAGAAGTGTAAAAGAAATATGAAAGTTCAGAGGGGAATATGGAGTAGTTGACCCAATGCAGGAGTTTGCTAAAGGGACTAGTCTTGCCTGGAGGAGTAGTCAGCTCTGCAGTTTATAGTTCAGGGCTTGAAACTGACCACATAGTCAAACCGAGATAGGAAAAAGGACCAACAGGCTTGTGGTGATGGGCAGTTTTTAAGTACTGGAGGGTTTTATGGTCCATTGAGTTATCCTTCCAAAAAGGTATTGTCACTTGTCAAGGGTCAAATGGATAGCAAGCTCAACTCCAAGTTGTCTGAAAGTTCCCCTTCATCATCATTTCTTGACTGAGCATATGCTGCTCTAAAACCTGGCTATATCTTTCAGCATTGATGGTGCCTTTCCAGATCTTCAATCTGCCTATCCCATACACATTAATGCACCCCCTATACCATCAGAGATGCAAGCTTTTGAATTCAGCGCTGATAACAATCCAGAAGGTCCGTCTCCTCTTTAGTCCATGGTTGCCAAAAATCATGCCAAAAATCATGTCATGTCTGAACCCAGGACAAGGGATTGGGTAAGCATTAGGCCAAAATTGTAGCATTTCAAATATATGGCAATATATTTGGGAAGAATATTTTTAAAATATATTTCAAATATATTTTTCTTCCATATGGGTTTCCCCAGCCTTGACTGGCTGAGTGACGTCAGCCGACAACGGGGTTCAGCCCGCTGTCAGCTGAAAACGTGTCATAGGAGTGCAGAAAGAACTGCACTCCCATGATCCACAGGAGAATTACAGCCAAAAGAACTTTGGCTGTACTTCTTTAATGTAATATTTTTGCTATATAATATAAAACACAAGCAAAGCTGTTTATTTATTTAAAAAGAAGATGCTGTGTTTTACACACTTATACTGGTTTCTCAAGCTCTGTGTTAATTAGCATAGACTGGAAAATAGTTTCTAATGGCCTTGTATAGACATGTAGTTTCGCAGTCGTGTAATCTCTGTTCTCTGCTTGTTTGAACCAGCACAGACCAGAGCAATTCTGATGTCATACCAAAGTTGCATATTCACTTTCCGTAGCAGGAAGTGCCTGAAACAGTGAACCTTACATTCAATGCCAGAATCCGGTGACATGAACTTTTCTTATCTACATAACAATAAACAGAAGAACAATGCTGTGAGACTAAACAGACTAAAACCAAAATGTGCAACAAAAAAGGTGATTTTATTCTCTGAAGCAAAAGTATTGTATGCAATTACTTCCCTCTTGTGTAATGTCATGCCTTGGTGTTTCTGCTAGCTGCACTTCAGTTATAAGCAGCATGTTTACATTGTCTACACCATATAATTAGTGTAAAACATACAAACACAGCTTACAGAAGAAAGACTGCATTGTGCCTATTTTTCAGTAGTTAAATTACCCATTT